AACCAAGGGCTTGAATTTCTCAGGATTAATGGACGATGTGAAAGTTAGCAAGAACAACTTCTTCGGCAAGCATATTTACATCTTAATCTTGTTAATAGCATCCTAATTATCTTCTACGCCTTTTCTCATAGAATGCTCCGGAAGGCTCGTTCTTCCTCCTTCATGCTTGTGCTCATAATCCTACTGGAGTAGACCCTACAGATGAACAATGGAGAGAGATATCACAGCTCTTCAAGGTGATTAGTCGTCGATACTTTATTAGTTATCTGGCTATCATTCACTTTTTGTCTCCCTGATCTGTCCACCGCAGACTAACAGCGAGTTCTCATTTCAGGCCAAAAAACATTTTGCATTCTTTGATATGGCCTATCAAGGTTTTGCTAGTGGGGATCCAGCGAGAGATGCCAAGTCCATTAGGATCTTTCTCGAGGATGGTCATCATATTGGAATTTCTCAGTCCTATGCAAAAAACATGGGACTCTACGGCCAGAGGGTCGGATGTCTCAGGTATTCATTTTCTCAGCAAAAATAAATTCCTTGACTGAATAAAGTCATCGACTTGTATGAGACAGCCGATTAGATATTCAAACATGTCATTAAGCGTACCCATACAGGCTCTTCGTTTAGTGATGAAGTTAGAAATGAATGTGAGCTTGATTACTCTGTCTTCTGCTGCAGCGTGCTTTGTGCAGATGAAAAACAAGCCGTGACTGTGAAAAGTCAGTTGCAGCAACTAGCTAGACCAATGTACAGCAACCCACCTTTACATGGAGCTCAAATAGTCTCAACCATTCTTGGAGACCCAGAGTTAAAGAGTCTGTGGCTAAAGGAAGTTAAGGTAACCATATAGTTATCGCCTTACCTATAGCTTCCTTCTGCTTGCAATTAATATATTCCATGTTTCATGTGTACGGAGACTCTTGTCGTATGAAACACATTGTAACCCATTGTTCACTCTTTTGTGTTTGATAATCCAACTATACAATTAGAAATCTGATAATCTGTGTGTAAAATCTATAACGGCACAGATCATGGCTGATCGGATTATTGGCATGAGAACTACTTTGAGAGAAAGCCTTGAGAAGTTAGGATCGCCTCTATCATGGGAGCACGTAACCAAGCAGGTAAATTACAAAAAAAAATTAGTTTTTGTTATGAGCATGTCACTTCTCTCATATGATTTACACAATTACATAATCATATATCTATATATGGGGAACAGATTGGAATGTTCTGGTACAGTGGGCTAACACCAGAACAGGTTGACCGCTTAACAAGCGAATATCATATCTACATGACCCGAAATGGCCGTATCAGGTACTAACTTGGTCCATTTTCTTGATTTTGATGCATTTCAAAAGTTAACAAAAATCATTGAGGCTCTTGATGTTTGGTTGCAGTATGGCTGGTGTTACGACAGGGAATGTGGGATACCTTGCGAATGCTATACATGAAGTCACCAAGTCATCTTAAACTATTTATATGCAAATAAGACAGGAGGCTAATTTGTTCTTCTGCAATTTTTTTCATGGGAACTGAAAGTTTATCCATAAACAGTAACTTATCAGTGCATTTTTTCTTATCTGCGCAATAAAAAAAGCAGCATTTGGACACAAATTCGTTATTGCAATCTGTTCTAGTTGATATTCAGGCTGGAACGATCGATTCTTGGTTATTTATTCACGAAAAATATAGATTGTTTTCGTCTCCATTTGCTTTTTTTAGTGAAGATGAATTGTAAATTTTTTGTTGCATCATGTATTCCTACTGGAGTAGACCCTACTTTAGAATTGTTCAAAAATACAAGGTGGACCCACATGCAAATAGAGCGCGTAAGCCTTACGCTCCAATGAGAACGTTAATCACGTAATTAGTACTCATTACTTGATATTAGCAGTGAAGTGAATACTTGAAAAGTGTTGATAACCTCCCAATCCATTAACAATAACTGATACAACTAATTTTGGATATTAGTATTGTTACCGGATCAGATATACAAATTGATTAAAGTACAGTGTATAGTGATAACACGTTTTTTAATTTGGGTAACAACTGATAGCATTTGCAGATTTTTGCAGAGAAAAAAAAAAGTTAAATCCATTTCTGAATTGGAAAAAATGTTAACAATATAAAAAAAATAATTATAAAAAACAGCATAACTGTATGTAATTTTTCATTTGTAGATGATTCTTTACCAATCTTGCGTAGTGGACAAAATAATACTCATATTATTGTCTATGTTTGGTGTTGAAGAGATTTTCCAATAATCTTTTACAAAAAGATAAGCTTAATTTACGAAAGAAAAATTAGGAAAAAAAATCTATATATACATTGTTCACTCCATCTAAAACTATGGAAACTGATGAAAAATTCAAAATCTCAAGATTCTTTCTAGTAATGATGAAACTTATTACAAATATGAAAGAGTACAAGTACATGTAATCTTAGTTTTTCACTCCGAAACCAGACTTCCCCATATAGAGATAAGGAAAGATAACTTCTACGAGATTTTGTGTAATCTATTCTAAGTACTCCTATTAAGTTTAGACTTTACATACTTGCATACATATCCTACCTTTGTTAATCAATAATATACATACACTTTTCCAATTCATTACATGGTATCAGAAATCTTTAAGATCTCTGACCTAATTTCTTGCGATTAACATCGGGCCAGCAATCTAAAATTTTACATAATCCATCATAGACATAAACCAAGTATGAGAACAGTGTTAGGTCTAAGGTTTATGTCTATGATGGTGTCTATAAGATTTCAAATTGCATGGCCTGATGTGGGGAAGTCTGGTTTTGGAGTGTATAAGTTTAAGCTAGTTAGAATCAATGGCAACCCGAGATGGGTAGTGCAAGAATGAGGTTTGCGAAAACACTTAAAAAGTATGCTGTCGATGGTTAGGCCTGCCTGCAAAGCTTATATACCCAGCAGGCCTAACCATCAAAATCTATATACAATGACATAGATGATATCAGGAACCCTTATGCTATGAGTACTCCTCTAAATCTGTCTTCCCATTTATGATTTACGCTAACAGAGCTGGCTGCGATTGTAGTTTCTCCTGCACTGACAACTGTCTTTGTTCCAGGAAAAACGGTGGTGCCAAGATATTTATTCACCAAAAGTAGAAATTATTTTCGTCTCCATTTGTTCTTTTTTATTGAAGATGAAGTTAATCGTAAATGTAATTCTGAAGTTTTTTTTCCTTTGTTCTATTTTAAGTTGTTTAAAGAAAGCTAATTCTATAATATAATGTTGATTAAAAATAAAATATGAGAAATACATAGCAAATAAACACATTTTTCATAGACCACTGCACCATCTTAACCAACTCATATTTTATACAAAATGGCCGTTTGGAAGACGAGCATTGGGCTCACGGAGTTCATTGAAAAGTGGATGAGCACATGCTTCGAGCTTTTAGACAAGGAAATATAACACATGTCAGTTAAAAAGCTTCAGCATCATTGAACAATGCAGGTCCAAACAGAGAGAACCACTCTAAGAATTAAGAACCACTCTAAGAATTAAGAAAACAGAAAGCTGCAACGTAGACTCGGTGAATATTGAAGAAGCCGAGATGCGAGGTCAATGGCTTCTGGAGGCATCCACTTATGGAAAACCTGGAGGTCATAAAGTAGTATGTGTATTGTTTCAGCTTTTCTTTCTTTTTTTTTTTCTACTAAGCTATTATATGATCAGAAAAGTTAGAACGTAACATCCATATAAAATACCTTATGCCACGGGTGAGCTTGTGGGAATCTAAAGTGTGTGTAGTTTGGATTCATGCATCGGATTTCTTCTCGAGTTGGAGTTCTAAGAACCTAAACAGAAAGTAATGTTAATCAAAATGACAAATCTATTAGATATAGGAATTTTCTATAAAATCCAATCAAAATGAGACTTCACCTTGATGATCTCCACTAGCTGGTCCACAGAATTTTCTCCGGGGAATAACGGCTTAAGATAAGTAATATCAATTGATTATCAAAGATATTGCAGAAATGCTTTAGTTCTCAAGATACTTAATGGATAAATAGTTTACAGTTACACTAACCTGACCAAGAAAGAGCTCTGCCAAAACACAACCAGCAGACCATATATCTATGGACGATGTATACTATGTGGCCCCAAAGATGAGTTCTGGAGCTCGGTAATACCGAAAAAAAATATATGATATGTTTGGTTCACCTTTTACCTAAAGTGAATAGTCACATGTTGCAAGGATCATGAAAACAAATAAGGTGCAATTGATTTTCATGAGACAGAACACATAAGCAGTGGAAAAATAAATGAAACAGCATATATAAGGTAAAACCTTACCAATACTTTTGCACTTCCAAAATCACACAGATTACACTGTTGAGTGAGGGGATCAACCTATAGAATGCACCAGGGAATTGGATTATAATCTAGTGATGGTTACCGAAGACAAACCCATAATAGATCAACTTATCAAAAGGTTCTGTGGTTTCACATCTCTGTGGCAGACACCAGGAGCAGTATGGATATAGGCCAAGCCTTTGAAGATCTGCACAACATATTTGCTAACCCGTTTCAGGATCAATAAGAAAAACCAAGAATATTTGTGGCAGATAACAATGTATACCTGGTATGTATAAAGTTTGACATTAAAAAAAGGCATCCTCTGGTTTGAAATAGTATAGTGCTTCAAAACCTGGTACAAAGTCTCGGGTACATACTCCATAACAAGGTTGAGGAAGAGCTCATCTCTACTCGTTGTAGAGAAGAAAAAATGCTTCAAATAAACCACATTAGGGTGGTCCATTAGTCGCATTAATTGCAATTCACGATTTTTGTAGCGCCGATCTTGCAAAACCTTTTTAATGGCTACTGACTCTCTAGTTTCCAAGCACTTCGCCTAGAATGGTAAGTTCATAAATTAATCAGAAATGGAAGAAAAAAGATATTGCCTAGAACAGCTAGCAGTGACAAGCAGAAAAGTTACCTGGAATACAATTCCAAATTAAAAGATCCTGTTCATGCATCGGATTTCTTCTCGAGTTGGAGTATCAAGAACCTGTTCCTCAATCCCTTCTGTAATGAGCTGTCAAGTCCAGCTGTCTTAGCTCTAGAATCATCTATTGTCTGTATAAATATGAAGTGATGTAGAAACCTTAATCTTTAAACTTATACATTCCGAAACTAGACTTCCCCACATCAGAGTAGCAATCTGAAATCTTATATAAACCATCATAAACATAAACTTTAGAGCTAACACTGTTCTCTAATCACCCTTACCTCAATATCATGGTACATACTCCTCTGCCTTGCTAGATTCCCACTTTCTAACTTTTGATGTTGATCTACCTGTGGAGCTTATCCTGACCACCGTGACCTGTATAAACCAGAACATATATACCCTGTATCTTCATCATCCTCAAGCTAAAGCATCCAGGAGAGCTATCTCGGTAAGATATAAAGAAAAATACAGAAACAAGCTACAGAAACTACTCAGTTACAGATGGCGAGCTTGTATTCTAAACCCTTTGATCTGCTACTATTAACCCCAGAAGCAGCAGCATGTTTGCAGCCAAGTGAGAATTTTTGATTATACCCACATCTCTGCATCCCGTTAAAGTTGAGGTTCTATGCATTTTCATTGCTGGATGCTTGTGAATGCATACCAAGATTTGGATGTTTTGTTGTGGGTATAATCAAGAAATTTCACTTGGTTGCAAACATGCTGCTGCTTCTGAGGTTAATAGTAGCAGATTAAAGGGTTTATAAGACGTTGTTGGAAAAAGCATTTTTTTTGCTAAGTAGTGAGCATGTTCATTGTGAGCTGAGATTACATGTATTTGTACTCTTTCTTATTTGTAATAAGTTTCATTATTACTAGAAAAGATCCTGGTTTTGATGAATTCTTCATCAGTTTCCATAGTTTTAACTCAAATGAACATATATATATATATATAGATTTTTTTCTAATTTTTCTTTCGTAAATTAAATTTATTTTTTGTAATAGATTATTGGAAAATTTCTTCAACACCAGACGTAGACAATAGTATGAGTATTATTTTTCTCACCACACAACATTGTCCATTCAAAGAACTACCTACAAATAATGCTATTTATTTTTCACACATCTAAAAGTATATATAAATCCTTACCCGAAACGGAATCCAAAATCTCAAACTTAACCAAAATATACACAAGAGAATATGGTGAGAAGCATATTGAGCGACGTTCAAACAAGTGGCTTTGGTTTATTTTGGGGGATATTGGCGGTTGCAGCCACCCTCTCCATAATAGCCATGGCCGTATTTGTTTGCGCCGGTGAAAAAAATTCTAAAAAAATGAGACGAAAGATAGACCATATGCTGGAGCTAGACGCCTAGACCATATGCTGGACCATAAGCGTCTGACGGTCAGGAGGAGGAGGAGGTTGTGGCGGTGGTGGTGGAGGAGGAGTTTGCTAGATATCTCTTTGGTACCTTTTCAGAACGTATTGGTATTTATGACCGACTTGCTTAGAATATTTAGGCATACCCTAGCACAATTTGTGCATAATCAATTTATTATTATGGTAAAAAGTATGACCAGTGACAAATATCTATTTGCTTTAGTATCGCATATCAGATTCTTGCATCATTTTATTATGCCACTTTATTAGTTCTATCGTTTGTATTTTGTGACAAATATCTATTTGCTTTAGTATCACATATCAGATTCTTGCATCATCTTATTTTGCCACTTTAATAGTTCTATCCTTTGTATTTCACTATATATCATATTATAATTTCTTTATGACGTCAACATGTTATAATATAATGGAAAAGTTAACTGAAAATGAGAATATAACCGAAATGTAATAGTATAGAATCGAAACCAGTAATCGAGGAGTTGTCATCCATTTTTTTTGTTGTTGTTCATTTAGGAGAGTTATCATCATTTTAACATAAAGCCACATATTTTTTGTTTTTTCGAGCTCAACCATATTTCATATAAATTCGTTTCTCCTTCTCAACCAAAGAGTATTTCATATGAAGAGGTTTTATTGGCTGTAAGATCAACACATTGGTTGGCTTGTCTTCCTTGGAAAGTGATGGTTAGTCGAATTACTCTTTTTCTTGTCTTGTTGATTTCTTTGGTATAGACTATAAACCTTGACCATTCTCGAGGTTCAGCTAACGCTGTCACCAATATCTTTGAATTCACTCTCAAAAATTACCTCTTCATAGCCAAGATTATCCAAACATGTCATGATCCAAAGAAGAGTTGTAGCTTCTGCCTCCATAATGTTACAACATAATTTTCGAGAAATTTTGAGCTCAGCCTAGAAATTAAAATGAATGACAAAAAAAAAGATATCCTGAACTTTTTCAATAAAAATTATGAAATGTAGAATGAAAATTTGGAAGAAACTCATATCGGTTTTTGTAAAACAAATAAAACATTTGGTTGATACCACACAATATAGATCAAATGTAAAAGCAAAAATAATTAAAAAGATGTTAGTTTGATCACACACGATCAAATTACGCTTGAGTTTTTGTGTGGTTCAAACATGTCTTGTAGCGTGATAGATATTTCATTTCTTCTTCCTTTTTTCTTAGGGCAATTTTCATTTCTTTTGTTTGTAACTTACCAAATATGTATTTATCTATCACAATAAATGGGTCTGCAGGTTTAGAAAATGGAATCTACCTTAATTCTTCACTGAATATGATTCGTTTAATTTAGCTACCAAACAAATTCCAGGAAAATACTCAAATATAGTAAGACTTTGGCATGTGAGCATGCAAGTACAGACAATGAGACTCCTATGATAAGAGATGTAGAAAGAACATTTATCTTGCCTTGCAGATATCGGAGAGAGAAGGAAAGACAGAACAGCGAACAAGCAGAGAAAGGTTTATGTTTTGTCAAAATATTGTCCATCTGCATCATTGTTAATGCCATAGGAGCAAAACAGAGAAAGAGAAAATACAAAATGATTGCGTTTATGGAAAACTCTAAAACGGTAAGACTTTGGCATGTGAACTAGCAAATGGTACAGACAATGAGACTCCTATGATAAGAGATGGGGAGTAGCAAGAACATTGATTTGAGATATTACCCCCAAGCTAAAGCAAGAAAGAAATGCCATAGGAGCAAAACAGGGAGAGAGAATACCGACAATAATGAGACTCCTATGATAAGACATGCAGAAAGAACATTGATTTGAAAAAATGTCTCCAACTAAAGACATAAAAGAAAAATACAGAAAAAGCTACGGAAACTACTCAGTTACAGATGGCAAGCTTCCTGTTCAGTTCATCGGCTGACCCATAGTCCAGGCTTAGCTCCGATAATGAAGGAACATCAAGTTTTTTTTTTTCCTTTTCTTTTGATGTTCCCTTGTTATCGGAGCTAAGCCTGGACTGTGGGTTGGCCGATGAACTGAACGGGAAGCTCACATTTGGTTCTTTGCCATCACATTTGGTTATTTTCTGGGACTAATGTAACAAGACACATACGTCTTCATCATCCTCAAATTACCTGAGACGACAATTCTGGTGGCTATCAGTTCACCTTTGGAGCTACGTTGTATCTGGCTGTGTAAGCCCACTGAGAGCACAGTTCATGACGGTAAAAGAACACGTCGCTGATCTCAACCCCCGGGTAAATACTTAGTGGGTTCAATTCCTGGTGTTGAGATCGGCGACGTCTTCTTTTACCGTCAGTGCTCGGTGGGGAGATGAACCGATAGCCACCAGCATTATCGTCTCAGGTAATTACGAGGATGATGAAGACACATGGAGATACCATGATATTGAGGTACGTGTGATTAGAGGGTTTAAGAATGAGAACAGTGTTAGCTCTAAGGTTTATGTCTATGATGGTTTATATTTCAGATTGCTGGCTTGATGTGTGGAAGTATGGTTTTGGAGTGGGAAACTTGGATTACATATAATTGTACAAAAAGCATATATACTGACCAGAAAGTGAAGAATATACAAAGTTTACAATGAAGTAGAGGGGTTAACCAGATAGGGGAAAAAATCCAACTATAATAGAAAACATTGTTGGAAAAAGTTTTTTTTTGCTAAGTAGTGAGCAGGTTCATTGTAAGCTGGGATTACATGTACTTGTATCTTTCTTATTTGTAATAAGTTTCATCATTACTAGAAAGAATCCTGATTTTTTTGAATTTTTCATTAGTTTCCATAGTTTTAGGTCTAGTGAACAATGTATATATAGATTTTTTTCCTAATTTTTCTTCCATAAAAGTAAATTTATCTTTTGTAATAGAATTTTCTCAACACCAAACATAGACAAAAATATGAGTATTATTTTTTCCACCACTCAAGAATGTTTACAAGTAGAAATACTTATATGCTGTTTTTTTTTATAAATGTTATCTTTCTTTTGAGATTTTTTTAATTTTTTTCCAAATTGAGAAATTGATTTAACTTATTTTTTTTTTTGAAAAATCTGCAAATGTTATCGCTTGTTACCCAAATTAGAAAACGTGTACTCCCCAATAACCCCCCCCCCCAAGAATTTATAGGTTATTTTCTTCATTTTGAATAGTAGATGTAAACAGTATGGTGGACGATGTAGTTTTTATTTCATTTGTTCTGTTTTAAATTGTTTAAGAAAAACTAATTCTATAATATAATATTGATTAAAAATAAAATATACCAGATACAATAACAAATAAACACATTTTTCATAGACCACTGCACCATCTTAACCAACTCATATTTATACAAAATGCCCCCTAAAATAATTGAAATTCTACAGCGCCAAGCAAATGCTTGATGGGCTTTTCTACCAAGAACAAAGCATCTTGGTTTCGAAGTTGTTTCTACAGAGCAGCTTGAACTCAAAAGCCTCCACTCATCTGTCGCCTAACGTGCTCTGGTACTAGCTTGTTTATAAGCTCTTGGGAAACTCCAGATAACTCTTTGAACATTTAAACAGAGAGAAAGAGATACAAGATTAAGAAACTGTTTGAACTTAACATCAGTTATGGTTTGGTTTAAGAATGTTTAGTTTAAGGAAAGTGGACAAACGTACCTCTTGTTTGAAGTTGAACAACGGTGGTACCAAGAACCTAAACCAACACAGCACATATATTATGACAAATGATAGGAATTTTCTATATCAGACAGAAAATGACGACAAGGTAAAATCTAATAAAAATGAGACTTTACCTTGATGATCTCCACTAGCTGGTCAACAGAATTTTCTCCAAGGAATAACGGCTGAAGATAAATGAATATCAACAATGATAGTCAAAGATATTGGAGAGATGCTTTAGTTTTCAAGATACTTAATAGATAAATAGTTTACACTAACCTGACCAAGAAGAAGCTCTGCCAAAACACAACCAGCAGACCATATATCTATGGAGGATGTATACTCTGTGGCCCCAAAAATGAGGTTTGGAGCTCGGTAATACCGAGAGCAGATATAAGATATGTTTGGTTCACCTTTCACCTAAAGTAAATAGTCACATGGTGCAAAGATCATGAAAACAAATAAGGCGTAATTGATTTCATGAGACAGAACACATAAACAGTAGAAAAATAAATAAAACAGCATAAATAAGGTTATGGGATCAACCTATAGAACGCACTAGAGAATTAGATAACAATCTAGTTATGGTTACCGAAGACAAATCCACAATAGATAAATTACCAAAAGGTTTTGTGGTTTCACATCTCTGTGGCAAACACCAGGAGCAGTATTGATATAAGCCAAGCCTCTGAAGATCTGGTGGCTGATGCATGTTGAAAGAAACTGGCCTGTGTTGACCCTGTGGCGGTGGCATCATGGAAGACGGCCAAACTGGATGAGGAGCTACTGTTTCTCTGTATTGATGTGCACTAGTATG